ATAATTAATATTTAATAAAAAAATCTATATACTTATAGCAACCTTGCATCCTCCATAGCATGGGACAAAGAATATTTTTGACCCGTCAAAAGATCTCCACAGATCACCAATCCAGCATTGACGGAAATGAAGATGGGAGGGGTCCTGCCTGCCATCCATCCCTAGCTGTCATCCATGTTAAAAGTTCTCAACTTTTTTTTTCCAGTTTTCAACCCAAATTGTTATTCTTTCCATCCTCTACAAAATTAAATCTTCCCTGCAAATTTGTTCTCCTCATTCCTTTACAATTTCAATTCAAATTTGTTCTCAAAGAATCAATATCGCCTCTCCCCTCCACTGATGTCACAATTGGGCTACTAAATCAGAAACCCTAGATCTAGATCTAGTTCCCAAACCAACAATGGCGACACAAGAACAAATGAAGAAAAAAAAAAAAAGGAAACCTAGATCAAGGTAAGAGAAAATAAAAGAAATCAGATTCAAATTTGTTGTCATTATCTTGAACATATACAGATGCAATTTTGTCTCTCCTCCACAAACTTTCTCCTTGAAATCCAAGTTCAACAACTTGCAGAACCCCAGATCCATTCAAACACCAGGCTAACAATGGCGAAGTCAAGAAAGAATAAATGAAAAAAAGCGAGAAACCCAAATCAAAGTAATAGATCAAATGAAAACCACCGAACAGGAAACATGCAAAACAACAAAAAGTAAATGCCAGAATCTCAACCTTCGAGAAATTGACAAAAATTTGATCTTCTAAAGAACCCATTGCTCGCTCAATCATCGTGGGAAAGAAGATTTGATGAGGAACAAAGTGAAAGGGACAAAAGTCATTCCTCGCTCAATCTTCGTGTGATGGTGAGGAACCCAGATCTAGTTTAGGTAAAGAAGAGAAAAAACTAAGATCTAGTTTTGATGGAGGAGAGCAAGAGGAAAAAGACTTTTGGATCGATGGAGAAAAGGTGGAGAGATTTGGTTCAGGCAGAAGAGAAGGAAAATGAAAAGAACAGAGAGGAGAGGAGAGTAGAGTAGAGTAGAGGAGGAGGGAGCTTGAAGATGAAGTTATAAGGGCAAATGTGTAATTTTAACTTTTATAATTGTTTTTTTTGCCCACTTCATCCCACTATAAACTATTTGTTGGATGCAACGTGTAAATTAAATGCCATGCAAGCCATTAAACAAACGACGTTGAGGGGCTCGTTAACGGAGGGGCTTATTTGCTTCAGACAGGCGGTTGGAGGGCTTATTCGCATCAGTTTTAGTTCAGGGGCTTAAGAAGGGTTTTTGCCTTTTTCTTTTCTTAATTTAACCAAATGATATATTTTTGTTTGTTATAGTTCAAAAAAATAATAATGTAATTTTT